TAAGACACTAATTTAAAGTAGCAAATGTAAATATGATGTAGTAATAAAAATGATGTCAGCCACGCAATTGATTAATAAAAAAATTATAAATAAAAAATAATTTTCACGAGGACAAGAAAAACTAATTATTAACGGCTTTACTATTGTTTTAATCACAAATTTTAATAAAAAGTCACGCAGTTGCCCTACAAGTTACAAAGCGATTTCACCGCATAAAAACCCAGCGTTCCCTCTCATTTTATGAGAACTACGTGAAGCAGCATCGTGCCGATAATAAGTCCAAGCATACAAATGTTCTTGGTAGGGCTCTTTTTTAGGGGACCTTGACCGGTACCACCCACTGCTGTGTTCAGATTTATAAGGTAAAGATAACTTGACAAGAACCGGAGACCCTTTCTACTCGTGACGAGACATTCTATCTTAGGGCCGATTTACACTTCGACAAGTATAGTAGCGAGTTTAGTTACAGGCACAGAATAAATAATAGTACTACGTACAGAAGTTGCACTCCTTTGATGCTGACTGCTTGCCGACGTTTTAATAGCCTACATAGTTATTATTAATCAGATAAATCGCGCAAGCGCGCTAAATAAAACTCTATCTATATAGTCCAATTTTATATTTAGTGGGTCGAACGCGAACACATTGCGTACTGTCAACTTATGTACTGAACTAAACTCGGCGAGCTTAGTTGCGGGTGACGGGAGACGAGCGGGACGGGCAACACTTCGAACATGACTCGCCGAAAATTAGGCCGGCCGGCTATCCCTTTCAACTATTTATTCTATTTAATTGTTAATTTGTTGCTTAACTCACTGATTGCCGTTCAAACGAGATTCTTACTTAACTCGCCAGGTTCGCAAGTTAACTCGCTACTGTGCTTGTCGGAGTGTAAATCGGGATTTAGATATCAAGTATGACAACGCATTTGTGTTTTGATCGCCAACCGAAGATTGATATTTTATTGTACTCCCGCACCTCTATTTTTGTACAGGTTTTCCTTGTTTGAAGTTTGTTGCAATTTTCTAGGGGCTGCAGTAGTTGCAAACACACTGCACTTTACTATCAAGTGGACTGTTACATTGCTTGTCACTAGTCACCACGGGGCATTAAATCACCGAGGCACTTCCGTGCTCTGTGTTTGTCACTCTAATACAATAAAATATCGATATGGCCTTGTTTCAACCACACAATGTTTCATCGAGTCGAGTTAGCGCTGAAGCTAAGTATTGAATTTTTAAGTGTTGATTTATAACGCCCTCGGCTGTGAACTGATACATCGTGAACACATATGAAGAACAACACGCATTGGGGCAGCACACTAGACGTTTTCTGCCTTAAAACCCTCTCAGAAATGACAAGAGGCCTGTGGCCAACCGTGGGATGTATTCACTTTACAAGGTTTTGCTAATACTAGGTTTATAGGTAGGGAATTAAAAAAAATACATTATTTTTAATGCCGCTTTCGTATTTAAGTTTGTTCTTACAGATTTTATCGCATGTAATGACAAAATTTAAACGCTTTTTATTAGGTAAAATAAGTTTTATGTATGTTGTATGTATAAAAGATATAAAATTTTACCATAGATAACCTAAATAATATGTAAAAATTATTCCACATTTTCTAATGTGTAATTTTTCAGTGATGTTCCGTGCGAGTTCTGCGAGCAAGTTGTCAATCACCTGCGAGACGTGTTGGTCGCAAACACTACCGAATCCGAATTCCACAGAGTACTCATTGGTATGAACGTTTCATAAGATCTCAAAGAAATATATTTATGTTAATTAGACACGTAGTGGTATCATATCAGTTTTTCGATAAAATAGTCTCCAAGTTTTCCGAATAAAATGTAGCTTAGATCGTTCTTGGTATTGCTCTTTATCTGTTCGTCAAGTTTCATTACAATCGGTTCATCCTTTCCGAAGTTTAGGCGACTAAAGACAGACAAAAATTAAAAAAATAGATACTTATGTCTTAATGGCATGCCGATAAAAAACCCCCTCAGCTCAGTAACAGGCAATTATATAATTATATATGTATAAATTTCATAACACACCTTTTCTATTAAAACATTTTTAAACATATTACATTAAATGTTAAAATGTATCTTAAAAAATAGTACGGACGCGATTTTCAAAAAAAAAAATTATATGAGACCCGACTGCGTCGTCGACTTATCACATCGTGCGCAAGACTTAGTAAATTGTATGACAGCGACTCACTAAGGACTAGAGTCGCTTGTAACTATCCTCATCTGTAAAAAGTCTGATTTTTCTTACGTGGTAAAGTCATGCTGCAGGTATAGTAATAGTAGTATAGTTGTAGCACGAATGGGTCGGCTCGACCGGGGAAGAACCTCGCTCTCACAGAATACCAGCGTAAAATAGCAGCCTAACGTTGCTGTGTTTCGTATGGTGAGTGTAGAGAACCGGAGACCCTTTTACTGGAAACAAGGTATTCCATCTTAGTCTTCACGGGTGACCACGCGTCTGCATTTTGATACGTAATCGAGGATAGATGTAGATGTCTATGGGCCACAGCAACCACTTACCATCAGGTGAACTGAGTGTTCGTTTGTCACCCTTATCCTATAAAAAAAGAAAATTTGTAATATCTTCATTTTGGTCTAAATTAATTATAGTAACAAAGATATATTTTCAACAGGTCTGTGCAAGCAAACTGGCTCATTCAAATCTGAATGTTTAAGCATTGTTGAGCAGTACTACTCCGTTATATACAACTTCCTCGTGTCGGAGTTGAAAGGCGACGAAATTTGCTCACTCATGGGAATCTGCGCGAACAAGACCGACGTCCCAGTGGCAGTGTTGCTCCCCAAAGAGTTGGCTGTAAAAGCGATCACGCAGTCACCGAAGCTTATTGGAACTGATGAGGCCAATAGTTACACCACTCCAAAGGTTAGTAGTTTTGTATTACACTTTTACCCGACTGTACCCGAATGAGGGTAATGGTTTTCGTGTGTGGGTTAGGAATATGCATGCAGTTTCAGTTATCCGGGTGCTCTTTAGTCCATACAAACGTTGCATGCAACTAAACACCTAATGATACTCGACACTAGCAGCAATGCATGTAATGACAGTAGAGAAGCAGCCGGCTCCGTGGCGCAGTGGCTTAGCAATGAGTTGCACTTGGAGATACTTGTTCCGTTGTTTGGCCTACAAATAATTGTTCCGGGTCTGCATGTTTGTCCTCGTGCAATTTATGTTTGTAAACTGCCTCCACGATACAGGACAAAATCCTAGTGTGGAGGTAACGTTTTTTTTTAATAAAAAGAAAATATTTTTATGCTACAATCTATACCATCAATCTACATTGTTGCCATATTGTAAGTTGTTTCGATGGCTGCAGGTGGCTCAGGACCGTGCTTTGTGGCATTCTTTGGTGGAGGCCTGTGTTCAGCTGTAAGTTTGTGAAGGGCTGTGATGATGATGATGATGAGGTTGTCTGGTAGAAATTGCTAAATAACAATAATATTTTTTTTTGTTTTCGCGCCATGTTTGTTTCTTGTTACGTAATTTGTTTTCTTGGCGTGCAATAAAGGCTATTGTATTGTATTGCATCTATATCTACCACTACAATGTTACTACGTTTTGTTTTTCTTCATAAATGTATTATATTAAAAAGTAGAGATCTTCTAAAATGACTAAAACTGCGGCGATATACCGTCCTTATGAGACATCCAGAAAACAAATTTAACGAAATAAAAGGAAAACATACAGATTCGGACAAGCAAACAGGGGAATACGAATGATGACTTCATGTGTCTACCTCGGTTAAACGGCCACAACGCGACAGTAATTGTTCGTAGAAATCTATTCTTTAAATTTACTGCAGCTGGGATGTCCTGCAAAATGCGGTAATACATAAAATTAAACCGACCGAGCCCCATGTTCAGCAGTGAACAGGCTGTAATGGTAATGCGTCATCATTAATAACACATAATGAAAGATACAGGCACTTAGTTCGTTCTTACCAGTGTGTGCCCGTGCTTGTCACATATTAGGAATGCTAAGATGCAGTGTAAGTGATACGGGGTCGACCATAACCTAGAATCTAGTGGCAAATTACTATGTTATCCAGGCAGTGGATGTACAGCTATAGTTAATTTTGAAATGTAAACTCGTTTGAAATTATCAGGTTGCCCGCGTGCCTGTAGCGAACAAGCAGACGAACGTGCGAATAATCAGCGAGTCGAGCGCTCAGTTGCCCATCGAGAGAATGTACGTGTCTATGCCTCAGAATAAGGCCGTCTGTTCCTTCTGCCAGTATTTCCTGCACTACCTGCAGCTCGAGCTCAGTGACACCAACACGGACGTAAGATTTTTATTTCTTATTTTATTTGAGTGATTGCAGAAGAACATTATTAAAAAACGACGCCTAAAACAAAATGTAACGTAACATAAAAAGTAAAATAATATAATTATTTCTTATATATACGCGAAGACTACACATTAAATGAAACTAATTTTTACGGATTTTATCGCGTTTAATTTAACTCCCGAAGTTTCGGGTGCTTTACAGCACCCATGGTGACAGGGAGACTGAGGTGTTTGACGTCCCGTTGTCGTAGTTAGCCCGGCTACTTTCAGTTTTTGAATATTCATTTTTGGTCCGATCTAAGCAGAATGAGCTTACATTATCTTGAAGTCTTGCAGTGGTATGCTTAGGTTGGGATTTAATTTTATTAATTATCGGATCCCGAACAAGCTGGTTTCCGAAAAGGCTTTAGTACCCATCGACCACATACACACCCTTCGGCAAATTGTACAGAAGACAGAAGAGTACAATCTGCCACTTTGCCTTGCGTATGTGGACTATAAGAAAGCCTTTGATTCCGTCGAAATTTGGGCGGTGCTACAGTCCCTTCAGCGGTGCCAAGTTGACTATCGGTATATCGAAGGGCTGAAGTGTTTCTACAGTAGGGCTACGATGGCTATCCGAGTACAAAATCAGAGCACGAAACCTATCCAACTGCAGAGAGGTGTAAGACAGAGCGATGTTATATCCCTGAAACTTCACCGCTACATTGGAAGACGTTTTCAAGCTACTGGACTGGAAAGTATACGGTATTAACATCAATGGCGAGTACATCACTCACCTTCGAATTGCCGACGATATAGTCCTTATGGCAGAATCGCTGGAGGACCTAAGCACTATGCTCAATGACCTCAATAATGTCTCCCAACGGATAGGCCTTAAGATGAACATGGACAAAACAAAGATCATGTTTAATGTCCATGTCACACCTATGCCGGTAGTTGTTGGAGGCACTAAGCTCCAAGTTGTTGACGAGTATGTTTACCTGGGACAAATAGTCGGATTAGGTAAGTCCAACTTTAACCGAGAGGTCAATCGACGGATTCAACTCGGTTGGGCAGCGTTCGGGAAATTACGGCACATCTTCTCGTCAGGTATACCTCAAAACTTGAAAACGAGATTGTACCACCAGTGCGTGTTGCCAGTGATGACCTATGGAACTGAGACGTGGCGCTTCACTGCTGGCCGGATGAGGAAGCTCAAGGTTGCTCAGCGAGCTATGGAGAGGGCTATGCTCGGAGTTTCTCTGCGTGATAAACTTAGAAATGAGGATATCCGCAGTAGAGCCAGAGTGACCGACATAGCCCAACGGATTAGTAAGCTGAGGTGGCAATGGGCCGGCCATATAGCTCGAAGAACCGACAACCGACGGGGAAAAAAGGTTCTCGAGTGGCGGCTTCCTACCGGCGGACGAAGTGTAGGGCGTCCCCCCACTAGATGGAGTGCCGACCTGGTAAGACATGCAGGAAGTCATTGGACGCAGGTGGCTCAGGACCGTGCTTTGTGGCATTCCTTGGGGGAGGCCTATATTCAGCAGTGGACTTGTGAAGGGCTGTAATGATGATGAATTATAGGACCCCAAGCAGATGGCAGCACCCATCCATCTTCTCTATTGAAATTAAGTTGTTTTTTTATTTCAATAGCCTCGCGAATCATACTTGGTAGAAATCGGTGTTCTTTTGCGAGGATTTGTAGTCTATCAAATCTAATGTAATGGCGGGGACGATCTTGAACATGTTCACATACTGCAGACTTCCCGGAACGTCGGTACTTCAAGTCAGCTATGTGTTCTATAGCTGACTTGAATTCGCGGGTATAGACGTTCCTGTCGCTGCTGCCCATCTCCTGATGTGTTTCACTCTGTCGTCTCTTACGACACCCACGGGACGATATGGGGTAGTGGATATTCTTACACCGTTTCTACACGGACATCACTTAAAACTTAATTAAACATTTGTTAGTGTTCCCTGACTGAGTTCAAACTCAGGTTGCTTGCGGATTATTTTTAATGCTACTTGTTAGGACTAAAGACTTTACGTGCTTTTCGAGGCACTGGGGTTAAGCATCGCTAACTTCCTAATTCCAGGCTGCTTCGATACATGACAGGAAACTCCTATACATAAGTGATTTTGGCCTGACCCGGAACCATATGATTAGAAGTCACACTTACGACAACGAGTACTAATGAGGCAGTTAGTTAGACTCTTTCGTTGATTAAAATATTAAATGCTGGCTGATACATGTATGAAACCACTTAGAACTGGTTAGAACTGTACGTTACTACGTTTTCCTCGGAATTAAGTAAGCTTTTGTGCAAAACACTGATTTCATCATGTAGCTTGATTCCCTTATATGTATATGCGAATCAAAATTTATCAGTGGTATTAATAATAATACCTTCAAGTTATCTATTAAAACTTAAATTTAGTATGTACATGAAAAAAATTATAACTACATATATTAATATAAATAAAAAAATTATGCAGGAATCTATCCAGGAGGCTGTGTCCAAAGCATGTAATAGTCTACCCGAGTCAGTCAACAGCGAGTGCAAACAGTTCGTCACTGAGTACGGCAAAGCAATAATTGCATTGCTTGTGCACGAAATCGACCCATCTAGTGTAAGTTCTACTTTATAACCACATCAAACCCATCATAAAGATATCTTCTAGTGACTAATACAATATTAATTAACCCTTTTATTTCAGGTGTGCCCTGCTTTAGGGCTTTGTCCACAGACGGAGGAAGTGCGCCACGTCTCCATTAACTCTGAGAAGTCCAACTGTCCGCTCTGCTTGTTCGCAGTCGAGCAACTCGAGACTATGCTAAAGAACAATCGCAGTGAGGTATTTCTCTACAACGATATTTATTAACTCATAAAAATTTAGATCAATTTAAAAAAATAAAAATACTCTCTCCCTTTTTACTACATAACAATCGAAAGAGACAGGTATAGAGATAATTAATACTGAATTTAAGTAAGCGATAATCAATCAACGTTTGATGGGAGTAAGGCATCTAGATGTTAGGACTGCTTTTCAGTCTTCCTAGACTCCTATCCGTTTGGGAGGGTACTACCCTCTTACCTATTTCTGTCGTCAAGCAACAGTAAGCGTACCGCTGCTGAGTTTCGATCTGAAGGTATAGATAGTCAGTCTAATTGCAGTCTGTAAGGCATCCCGCCTTAATACTCGGAAATGACAAAGCATGGGCGGCAGTAGCCACTGAACTCTTTAAGTTTGTTCGTCACTTCATTATTATAAAAAAAATGAGACGTGGGTGTGTCGTGAACACGGCCGTGTTTGTTGCGTGAATACGTGTACATAACGTCAAAGTTCATATTAAAAAGAAATTATGTGACATCGAAACGACCTCAAAATGTGTCCTCCACTCAACATAACGAATTTTTTGATCCCATCCTATCCTATCCTATATTTCTTATTTTGAGCTATCGAGTGGTGTAATTAAATTTTGTATGTAGATGATAGATAGTATACACACAAAATTGTATTTGGGAAAACTATGTTTGTTTGTATGTAACAAACGAGCTAAGTGTCCATGTGATGGCACATGCATGGTACAGCAGGCCATTTTTTTTTTTTATAGGAGAGGGTGACAAACGAGCACACAGTCCACCCGATGGTAAGTGGTTACTGTGACCCATAGACATCTACATCTATCCTCAATAAAGTTTCAAGATGCAGATGCGTTGTCACCCGTGAGGACTAAATTGGAATGCCTCTTTGCCAGTAAAAAGGGTGTCCGGTTCTCTACACTCACCATACGAAACACAGCAGCGTAAGACTGCTATTTTACGCTGGTTTTCTGTGAGAGCGTGGTCCTTCCCCGGTCGAGCCGACCCATTCGTGCTACAACTATAGTACTAATATAGCTGCAGCATGGCTCTACCACGTATAAAAGTGGCGTGGTAAAAAATGGCCATGGACATTTGCAAGAAAAGAAACAAAGTCTTCTACAGATGCGTTGTCTTTAATGAAATACCTCACATTCTGTAATCATACTGGTTTACCCTTCAACCCGAAATAGACATGTGTCACCATCATTATAGGTTCCGTCACGTAAAAAGAGCGCTGGCCTCGTACCTCGCACTGAGCGATTTTTCGATCAAATTGGTGGTATGAAGGGGGCGCGACGGGGGAATGTTCGCCAGTATTATTGTGCGCGCACGCTATTGGTTCGGCAGTTGACCCATGTTTCCCGCGCTTCCTTCGATCCCAAGAATACAGTTGCACACCCAACTTTCTATGCACGACGCGTGACGAAGGTTTAAAAAAAAAGGAAAGAAAAAGATTTATATTTATTGTTTTATGACTAAACTAGTGAATGTAAAAGGAGTGATAGTGATAAGTAATCTTCCTTTTATATATTTATTTTATTTACTGGTCACAAGCTTTTATTTTGAAAGATGGCCGAGTTGACAGCTGTGTATAAAGTTTTTACGCCATGGTGCAGTAAACTGCGCCTGAGTTACTGAGTTAACACAAGGAATTTAGCTGAGTTACCCATGTCTGAACCGACACAAAAGTGTATGCACATCTTAGTAGCATCAGGGTGATACTTAACAAGACAGTTCCAAGCAGATAAGGACCCCTATCCCCTAGTAAAATGTACACAAATGGACTAAATAATTATAAAAATATAAAAATGGATATGTTAACATTCGGTTTGTTTCAGGACAACATTCGTCACGCTTTAGACAATCTATGCAACCATCTGTCCGCTAAGCTTCGTACGGAATGCGTGGACTTTGTCGACTCGTATACGAACCAGCTCATTGAGATGCTTGTAGCGAACATGAACGCACAGGAAATCTGCGTCTTCCTCAAACTGTGCAAGGATGAAGTAAAGGATCCGCTGAAGATCACTCATCAGTCGATAGACAAGTACCATGAGCAACCACAGTTGAGAGGTGACCGGAACAACTTCAGACGGAAGTCTATGTTACCGCAGGAGATGTTGGAGAAAGGATATGGTGACATAGGTAAGACTTGAACTTATTGCATTATATCACAATACATTTTTCTGTTCACTTTTTTGCGATCTTTTTGAAGGACAGACTTGTACTAGTATTTTTTGGATTTCAAACTTTAAGACGACTTTTGAATCTGAATTGTAATTTAAATATAAAAATGTTAAGTTACAGCCTGTATGCGCCCCATCGCTAAGAACAGACCACCTCTCATTTCTGATAGGGTTTTAGGGCAGGGAAATGTACATTGCGTTGGCCCAATGCGTGTTGGCGAACTTCACATCTTTTCGAAATATTTTTTTTATTTCTCAGATATGCAGGTTTCCTCACGATATTTTACTTTACAGCGGAGCGCATGATAAATCAGTTAAACTTAAATTGCAATTAAGCGTCCCTAAGCTACCATGGCTTGGTGGAACATCTTGTCATTGTAACAAACATGTTTTAGAAATATTTTAAATTAAATATAAATAAATTTAAAACTAAGATCTGAAGTTTTCTAGTCTTGAATTTAATGTTTATAGGTCTTGTTGCAAACAAGATTTATTAATATTCACGGGTTTAAAGAAGAGTATTTGTCACAAAAGAAGGCTGCGGCGCCACAATCTTTGAGAAATTTCACATTTGCTGTCAAATTCCATACTGTAACATTTCAATTTGCATAGTATATTCCATAGAACTTCTTTATTGAAACATTATCTAGTTTAAATCTAAGACTAGGTTTAGTTGTCCATAAATTGTATATTATGTAATAATAACTAAACCATATTATATTTGACCTGGTAAGATATGCAGGAAGTCGATGAAAGCAGGTGGTTCAGGACCGTACCTAGTGGTATTCCTTGAGGAAGGCCTGTTTTCAGCAGTGGACTTGAGAAAGGTTGTAATGATGATGATGATGATAATTATGATTATGATGATATGTTATTATATCAATTAATTTACATAAAAATAGATATGTTTTATATATTTTTATGTATTTAAATTGACCCTTCATATTCTTTCTAACGGCGCAGTATATTATTAAATAATAAAAATAAATACATAATTATGCAAAATAAACCAAAAAATGCGTACATGTTTTCCCTTGTATATCCATAGAGACGAACGAGATTCCCGACCACACAGTGAACGGTCGTCCGAAGAAACAACTGAAGCAGAAGTCAGTGTGCGTCATCTGCGAGTTTGTCATGAAAGAGATTGACGACCAGATTAAGGACAAACATAACGACGTACGTATTGGTGATCTCAAAAATTAAACTTAATAATTATTTTACGTTATACCTAATGGCTCAGAAAGCGTTGGCGACCATGTGCGATTTCGATTACAGCGATATGCACTGTACTTGTAGACATTTGACTTGTAGACGACTAGCGAGCGGTGCGATTATTCATTCAGCGCCCAATGTCAATATTTTATATCCATTTGTGCTATAATTGGTAGCCTAGTCACATGAGTAAAGAAACTGTACAGAGGCAAAGCTTCTAAGGAGCTGTCAAAATTTTAAAATATTTTGTAAGGAATATAAGAGAATAAAATTAAATAACAAAACGTTTATCGGCTTTTTTTATAGGACAGGGTGACAAACGAGCATGCAGTCCACCTGATGGTAAGTGGTTGCTGTGGCCCATAGACATCTACATCTATCCTCGTTTGCGAATTAAAATGCAGATGCATTGTCAGACGTGAGGACTAAGATGGAATACCTCTTTTCCAATAAAAAGGGTCTCCGGTTCTCTACACTCACCGTACGAAACACAGCAGCATTAAGCTATTATTTTACGCTGGTATTCTGTGAGAGCGTGGTCCTTCCCCGGTCGAGCCGACCCATTCGTGCTACAACTATAAAATATATATAATTTATTATAATACTTAATGTATTATCTTTATTTACAAACTATTTTTATTTTAAATATTATATTTTTATAATTTTTGTTCTTTAAAAAATTTGTTGCGCCTTTCAATTAATTTTTATTGAAAAAAATTGAAATTTATTAAAAAACTCATGTGTTTGCTTGCGGTTTGCTTGTGTTGTGGTTGAAAGCAGGCAAGAGTGCACCATTATCTTCATTCGTCATTAACTTGTACATATTTGTTTCTAACAGGACGAAATCAAGAAAATAGTGCACGGCGTCTGCAAACGTATGCCCAAGTCAGTGCGCGCTGAGTGCGATCAGTTCGTAGACAAATACTCCGACCTGGTCATCAGTCTGCTCGCTCAGGAGCTGGACCCGTCCGAAGTCTGCCAGGAGTTGAAACTTTGCGACTCCACTGGAATGAGGGGCGTTAAAGGTTTGTTTAACATTTGCTTAACGGTATAGTGCCTAATGCAAATCACTAAAACTTTATAGGGTGTAAGACTGGCGCGAAACTCTTTCATGAACTACATACCAGGAGCAAGTCATAGTGGCGACATCGGTCATTAAGTTTAGATTAAGATTAGTTCAATTAAAGACCTAGATAGAATAACACGCCCCTCCTCTCATTAACACTTTTCCTCGTTACAACAGAATACCAGCTTAAAGTAGCAAAGTTTTGGTATGGTGAGTGTAGAAAACCGAAGACCCTTTTTTCTAATAACGAAGTATTTATCTTAGACCTCAGGAGTGACAACGCATCAAAATTTTGAATATTAATGGATGATGGATTAGATCTATGTGCGATAACGTCCTTATTTTTTAAAAGAAAAGTATGTTTTGGTATAATGTTAAAAAGATTTTTTTTAACTACTTTGAATGAATATAGACGAATATGTGAACGCGTCGTACTCGTTCACGAGTAACTCGGAGAGTTATTCGGCGAGCTGTTCGTCCGATAATCTAAACGTGCCATAATACGCACGTTATTTGAATGTTGTGTATGTAATTTAAATATATAATATAAATGTAATATATAATGTAAATTCCAGCAGAGGCGATCTTGGACTGCGCGGTGTGCGAGACGGTGGTGATGGCGGTGAAGAAAGTGCTCAGCAACGACAAGGTGGACCACAATATCGTACATGTGGTGGAGAAGTCCTGCGCACTGTTGCCCGCTAAGTACTCTGACAGGGTTAGTTACTATAAACATAGTATTTTTAAACGTTACCCACACCAGAAATATCCAATATGTAATATAGGTGTTCTACCTTGCAATCATCAATTTATGAGAAAAAAAGTATGGAAGTAACAGCTTTCGTACGTTCTATTGGTGGGCACAGGCCTCATCTTATTTCTGTGTGAGCTATGAAGCAATTAGCCCGCCGCGCTGCTCCAGTGCATGTTGGCGGACTTCACATGTCTTCGAAATATTTTTATTCCTCTAACATGTTACTTTTCTCATGATATTTTGATCTAAACGAAAAGAACCACTTCTAAGCCAATCGACTTAAAACTATCGAATTTATCGCTATTGTGAAGATGAGCGTGCACAAATGCACAGACAAAAATGTGCTACGATTATATTATATTTATATAGATAAATTTAGTTCTATAATTGGTAAAAGTATAGAATTTAAGGCCTTTTGTTGGATACTAGTTGCGTAGACACTTTTGCGGCCTCTCATCTCAGGGGTACCTCATTTAGAGCCGGGGCGGCATCAGAGGCAGCTGAACTGAGTAAGTGGCGCAAATATGAATCTCTGAGAGATGACTACACATTTGTGCCATTTGCCGTAGAGACTATCAGTCCGTAGGGTCCACGTGCGGTGAAGTTTCTAAAGCAGCTCTACCCGTGGTTGTTGCTTCTGGTGATAATATATAGGCTAAGTATAACAATTCAAAGAGGAAACGCAGCCATCGCTCTTGGCACGATACTACGGGGAGTAGGACTGTATGATAATTAAGTTATTCGTGATAGTTTTTTTTTTATTTAAGTAAAAAAATATTACAAATTTTAATTAAACATTTGTGTTTCCCCAGTGCCACACGATGATGGAGATCTACGGTGACAGTGTCATCCACCTGATCGAAGAGTTGGGCACCAAGGGCGTGTGTGAGAAAATCGGCCTCTGCTCGGACCGTAGTGCGGCCTACGTGCATATGCACACAGGCAACTATTGAGCTGAGTGAGTTCTTACTTCACTTGGTTGTACTACAATCTTATTTTAATAATCTTTTTATTTGAATAAGCATTTAACAATTTGCAAGGTAAGGAGCGTATTTTAAGTACCTTACGGCACTTGTGTCAGAGACTCCCGCTCTTCCATAGTCATACAAAATGTTATAGAAACATAAGATTACATATTATAAAAAAGTTTAAAATTATTCCAAAATAAATGGTGAATGTATATATGATGATGTAAAATATATGTATGTGTTTGTGTGTGAAAATATTTTTTGTGGGTTGTGTTGAAACTTAAAACATATAAGTTTGTCTGCGCTTTCGTATGACGGTCTTTAGCCAATTTAAAATTAATAGCTTGCAGTCCTTGTTATTTCTTCAGTGATTAAGCTTTTTGTTGACGAACTTGTACAGATAGATTGGTTAATGAACTGACGTATAGCGAATGCAGTTTTAACACAAGATGCGTTTAGTACCATTGTACATAAAGACATTTCTTTTCTTTTGTGTACTATATTTGGGTTAAAAAAAACACTACACAGATGTGTTCTTGTATACGAGATATTGTGATGTCCGGTTGTCGAGGCTCGTATAGGTCAACGAGATAAAATTAAAAAATACGAGTGTTTAGCGTAAGAATAGAAATTTAAATAAATTTATTATAGTTGTTTTTGAGATAAGTAACAGATTCTGATACTACTAACGAGAGTTTATTTCATGCAGACACCGACCTTTGGTATTGCTTAAATTTGTAGATGTTTGATTTGAATTTAAAAAAAAAACCAAAACCCACGTGTCTTTCTTCATGCATTTTGGTCTTGTAGACGGTCTACTTTGTTTTACTTATTTTTATGGTATAAGTACATTAACAGCAGTACATATTATATTATATTAAAAAGACTCATAAAATAATTCGTATGCATATTAGCTCTGAGATAAACACAACATTGATAATGTTGTATAATATATAATAAGGCACGAAATTAAAAAGAAAAGTAAAAATATAAACGACACAAAATAATGCGACTTAAAAAACACATGATTTATCGATATGTTTGAGGTTAGGTTTTTTGGGGCCGGTTGCACGAGCTTGCTTAGGCTTTTATTTATTAGGGAAAGTCAGTAAAACAATCATCATGATCATTACAGCCTATCAAACCCACTGCTAAACATAGGCCTCCCACATAGATTGTCTCATGTTGATATTTGCCAGTTTTTAAGTTTTGAGTCAATATCAAGAAGATACCCATCTCCTGTTTTGTTTCCCCCTGTCGAATCCTGCGACACCCACGGGTCGGCATGTGGTAGTGAATATTCTTACACCGCTACTTCACGGTAAAAAATATAAATAATATAAACTGAAAATTTTACATTTTTGAGTTAGTTTGAATATAATAAGTATTTTTTTTAGTTTCAGGTAATTGCTCCTTCCCTGGTCAGGAGCCTAAATTCGTAATCTCTAATAGTTACTTAAGCCTTTTTACCAAATGTAGTAATTAATTTGGTGGTTTTTTTTTTGTAGCGAAATAAAGCTATTAATGTAAGAGTTTGATTAAAACGTTTTGTCTTTATGTTTTGAAGGATTGTTTAGTTTAAGTTATCAGTGCATGTATCACCAAATTTTTATTACGCATATTGTCAACGTAGTTATACCCATTGTACCCGATTATAAGGTAAAAAATTAAGAAATAAATCATAACGCTCATTATATCCTCTCTTTCAACGAAATCTTTTAGTTGACACACGTCAGCCTGTGATAACACTTTTTGTAATTGAGTATAATAAATTTTGGAAGAAAAAAATTTCTTTTATTTAAGAACCCTTGATATATTATTTCTTACTTATCTTCACGCACAATCCCTGACGGGGTAGCCAGAGAGAACAGATCGCCAAGTGTCACGATCCTTACATACCTCTTTCGCTTCTTTCAGATTCATTATCTTCTTCATACATGCACGTCTAGGTATCCGAGTACTCTTGACCCTACCCTCGAAGAGGGTAGGGTCAAGAGTACTCGGATACCTTACCCTCCTAATACCTTCTACCCCTATTATTTCTTCTTGAATGAAATTAGTTTTAAAGGATTTTATTACGTTTTTGAACTTTCAGCACTCAGCAAGGGGGGATTGAGGTGTTCGACGTCCTAATGTCATAGTTAAATTCAGTTAAAAATTATTAATTTTGTATTACATTGGGACATCGAACACCTCCGTCACCATCTCGATCATGGGTGCTGTACTCGAAACGTAAAACGCGATAAAATCCGTAAATTATTTCGTCCACAACTGGTATAGCCTGTTCGCTTAGATACGTTCGCGTGTGTCGCGCCGCCTCGGCACGTGCCGCATTTGGTCAAAGGCGCCGCCGCGCCGCCGCGCCGCGACATTAAAGGTCGCCACGTGTGACGTACACCTGAAGGAGAATTTGTCATTTTAAAACGAAGCGCCGTAGTGAAAGGTTCTTTGCTAGCTAACTTGTTTTTATTATTTATATTCGTATTTTACTACCATAACCATAAGATTCTTAGAATAGAAAACCATTTATTTAACAAACAGTAAAAAACTATAAAATAAAGGCAATATAATAAGTGCGTCTTCGGGTGTACCTGACTGAAACTATATGCACCACACCCTTTTCAGGGAGAATTGGGCTCTTACAGGTTTCACGCCGCTGTTCTCGTTTGCTGGTCTTTGTATTTTACGCAAGAGGAGATTGTTATACCGCTATCTAACGGAAGACAAGATTTTTTTTTTTTATAGGAGAGGGGGCAAACGAGCATGCGGCTCACCTGATGGTAAGTGACTACCGCCGCCCATGAACAACTGCAACACCAGGGGAATCGCAGATGCGTTGCCGGCCTTTTAAAAAGGAGTACGCTCTTTTCTTGAAGGTCCCTAAGTCGTATCGGTCCGGAAAAATCGCTGATGGTAATCGATTCCACAAGGAGGTCGTGCGAGGAAGAAAACATCTTCTAAATCGCACAGTGGTGGACCGCCAATCATCCAGATGGTGTGGATGGTATCGGGAGTTCTGCCGCGATGTGCGATCGTGAAATTTGGCGGCTGGGATTAATCCGAACAATTCCTCAGAGCACTCCCCATGGTAGATGCGAAAGAAAAAAGATTTTTCTGGCATTTCTCATAGTCGCTACTTAAGGCGTACTCTGCGAAGTATTTTGATGCTCTCTTCTCCGCTGCATGCATATTTGTCCAGCCCGAAGTAAGTGTGCGACGGTCGGTGGACAAAAAGTTACTTTATTTGAAAGATTTTTGTCTTACACATTGCATATTTAAAGTTTATATGAAGGAGGAGTGCAGAAAGCTATTTTTTTTTTAAATATATATTACAAATACATCAATTTAATAAAGTAAACCATTCATTGTATACGTTCATAGTGTCAATGTCAATTGTTAAATATTAGTCGAAGAGATTGAGAGAGATTGTCGATTTAAAAACATAAAAGGAGACGGTCCAAAATTGTATGAAGCGTAGGGCTAGTTTTGTACTAGTATGGAAATAAATTAAAATTAAATATTACCACTGTTGATCATTCAAATCCAAAAATTTACCGTAATTTCAATGGTATTAATATTTTATTCTCACCAAAAAATGCAACACTAATGGCGGATTGATGTCGTTTTGATTTGATGTTAGCTGCCATCTCTGAAATATATTACCTATATGAAATATATGCCTATCAGGTAGATCTATAATATAAAAATGAATAGCTGAATGTGTTGCTAAGCGCAAATCTCGAGAGCAGCTGAACCGATTTCGCTAATTCTTTTTTTATAATATTCCTTGATACGAAGGTGGTTCTTACGGAGAGAAACATTTAAAAAAATTATTTTACCTATAATTACTGGCATATTGACTAAATGAGCTTTGGGTTTTGTATGATTTCAAAGGTTCGTTTTTGAATAGTATGGGGAATATATGTCAAGGCAAAAAGGGTTTATTTGAAATTTTTATATTTGTGTTTATATATAAATTTGCAGTTGAAAGTGAAATACAGCTAGCTTAATACACAAATCTAAAAATTTAATTAATTACTGTTTAATTTCAACCATTTAGCGACCTCCATAAATTAATGCCGCTGCTTCACGCTGGCCGTACGCGCCGTGAAAGCTATTATTTATTCTGTGGTGAAAGTACGATTCCGTTTAACGCAGCGGGCACTTCACCATACCCACATATGGTGAGGTGCCCGCTGCGTTATATATAGAATAATGGCCACATTTTATAGTATAATGGTGACAACGAACACACAGTCCACCTGATACATCTACATCTACATTTGATACATCACCATATATATCTACATGTATCCTCAATTAAGAATCAAAATGCACATGTTTCCAGTATAAAGGCTATCCGGTTCTCTACACTGACCATACGAAACACAGCAGCATAAGATGCTATTTTACGCTGGTATTCTAGCCTCTTAGCCGATTACTTCTACTATTCCATAATATATATTCATACGTGGAAATTTGAAGGGACCTCATTTTTAAACTGTAGTAGATTTAAAGATTAAGATTAAAAAAATACAAACGAGATTTTAGATGGCCACTCCAAAAAAAGACATTTTATTTATAATAGAAATGTTATTTTTTAGAAAATAAAAAAGCCTTTGTTACAATATTGTTCTTCGCGCCATAACCATAATCACTAAGAATTTTTTAATCTCTATTCGAGGTTTCAGAAGGAACAGGCGTATGACAGCGAGGGTCGTCTCTAATTTCTAGATTTTGTGGCCCCAGAACAGGTTCATTAGGATTATTCCGGAGCAGATATTCAGCCAGCCATATTATTGGTTCAGCAGGTCGCTCTCTGGTGAGGGTGGCCAGCGCTGGTTGCAATGTTCCGACGAGGTGTTTTTGTATGTAGTCGTTCACTTGCCAGTGACGAAGTAGTGGACCCACTATCACTGCAACATTAAGAACCTTTCGTTAGTTCTATTAATTGTATTATACTTGATTTATTAAATTAACAATTAAATTAAAAAAAACAGCATAAGAGCTATAAACTAACTGATGGTAAACGATTACTGAAGCCCACGTTGGTCACCTAAAAGTTAGTTAAAAAAGAAATGATAAAATATGCATTAGCAACCCTAATATGGAACCCAACTATACTCTATTTAAAATAGCATTAGACAAGTTAAAAAAGGTTTTTTATAACGCACATTGTAACAAAAGTACAATAAACATGTTACTGTTAAGATTGATGCGTAATTTTTTGTAATCTATTTATACACCAACTGTTACACTTATTTGTAATCATTTTAATTATTTATCTCATGAAATTAAGTGGCTATTATTTAGATATAGTGTTTTATATTATTCAAAATTCCAAAGCCAACGCTAAAAACCTAAAAGAAGCAGAGGTGGGCAATACCGGAAACGTTTTTAATTTCATTGTTAATTTACCAAATCAAAAATAAAACTTAATTTATTTGTATTAAGCTCTGTGATGTGATGCCAGGGTTTTTCTAATTTTACCGGTTTATGATGTCATCTGTTATTTTGCGTAAATAATCTATAATGGTCATTCACTTGTGAATTGTGTTCATGGTCTTTATACTGTTTTCAGGGTTCCGTAGCCAAATGGCAAAAAACGGAACCCTTATGGATTCGTCATGTCTGTCTGTCTGTCCGTCCGTATGTCACAGCCACTTTTTTCCGAAACTATGCTGTTGAAACTTGAGAACTTGTTAGAGGCACACTGAACCTAAACGTTAAGTTGAAGAGGTCTCGTCTAATAAAGTCAACGCTCCATCCCCCTCGTGAAATAATTCAAAGTCCCGAAACATCTCAGCTCGAGCTACAAAACCATTTTCAGTGCCAAGAAGATTGCAATGCAGTGAACGATATGTTTGACAAGGTTGTGGAAACTGTCCATGCGATCAGAGCTAAGTTCTGCAAGACCCACCACAGAAGAACACGAAAACTCTCCGATCACACTCTTAATCTCATGGCTGTTAGACGAGAAATGAAGCTGCAGTCTTCAGTAGATTTGATAACATACAGGCAACTGAACACACAGATCTCCAAATGCATGCGGCGGGACTTACGCAACTTTAATACTGCTCGTATTGAAGAAGCGATCGAGTGAAACCAGGGCTCCAAAGTCTTTGCCAGAAATCTGTCTGCCAGAAAGAGCCAACTGTCGAAGCTGAAAACGAATGTGTCGCAGCGTCGTTTCCGGAACACCTGAGATTTTGAGTGAGATTGAGAGGTCCTATGGGCAGCTGTACACTTCATGGTTGGAGCCACACGCAAGTGTGAGTAACGATCCAAGAGCAAGTCTTATCCGACACTATGCCGACGATATTCCGGACGTCAGTCTGAGCGAGATTAGAATGGCTAGCACCTTAAAAACGGCAAGGCCCCAGGCAAGGATGGAAATACAGCGGAGCTTCAGAAAGTAGGTGGAAAATCAGTACTTAAAGTCCTTCAGAAGTTCTTTCATTCCGTCCTTCATGGTGGCACTACTCCGGGGGCGTGGAGCAGAAGTGCTGTGGTCTTATTCTTCAAGAAAGGTAACAACGCTCTCTTGAAGAACTACAGACCGATTTCGAGTCATTACGAATCGTTTCGCACGCAGAATCGACGACTTACAGCCTCCCGAACAAGCCGGTTTCCAAAAAGGCTTTAGCACCATAGACCACATACATAACTTTCGGCAAATTGTACAGAAGTCCTAGAAGTACAATTTGCCACTATGTCTGGCGTATGTGGACTATGAGAAAGCCTTTGATTCCGTCGACATTTGGGCGGTGCTGCAGTCCCTTCAGCGGTGCCACGTTAACTGTCGGTATATCGAAGTGCTGAAGTGTTTGTACAGTATGGCTACGATAGCTATCCGAGTACAGAACCAGAGTACGAAACCTATCCAACTGCAGAGAGGTGTAAGACAGGGTGACGTTGTATCCCCGAAACTCTTCACCGCTGCATTGGAAGACGTTTTCAAGCTTCTGGACTGGAAAGGATACGGTATTAACATCAACGGCGAGTACATCACTCACCTTCGATTTTCCGACGATATAGTCCTTATGGCAGAATCGCTGGAGGACCTAAGCACTACGGATCATGAGATACAGCCCGATGACAGATTGTGGGACGGACAGCGGAGGCTTAGTAATAGGGTCCCGTTGGTTACCCTTCGGGTACGGAACCCTAAAAGGAAACAGTCCATATTAAAAAAAAATTGTGTCCTGTAGGCAGGTAAGCAGTCTAACTACAAGAAAATCACAAATAGACATGGTTTTCTATATAAATACAACGCATAAAATTTTGAAAAAAAAATTCTGACCCTTGTCCTTAACCATTATAGGCAACTGTCGTTTTAAGTTGCTTGTTAGGTTGTTGTCGGTTTAAAAAAATTATAAAATTTAGGTACAATAAAAGTTGTTGCGTAATACACAAAAAAGTAGTAATTTTTTTTTACGAACATAGTGAAATTTTTATACACCTCACTCTACGCACAGGATAAATAGCGATATCAGGAAAACAGTGGCAAGTTCTGTGATCAGATAGTATGAAGGGTGTGGTCCTCCGACTATTCCAGCTGCCAAATTCCACCTCCGCACATCGCGTCAAAACTATACCATCAACACCATCTGGATGCTTGGTGGTACAGGCACTTGTATTCCTCGCACGTGTTATTTGTGGAATCGTCGATCTTTTGGACCGATTTGACTTTGGGACCATGAAGAAATGAGCGTACTCATTTTTAAAAGGCCGGCAACGCGCCTGCAATTCCCCTGGTATTGTATTGTCATTCATGGGCTGCGATCGACACTTACCATCAGGTGAGTCGCAGCCTCGTTTGCAGCCTCTTCAAAAAAAAAAGATATATTCAGTCAAAAATCATAATCTAACCAAATAAGAGCTTAGCAGTCATAATATCCTGCTATAAACATTAAGGTCAGGGCCGAAAACAAAATCTACGACTGTGCAACCACGCACGCTGGCCCGTAAACCACGTGATAGGCCTTTACATCACACTTTTTTTCTGCGCATGCGTTCATATTAGTCATCTTTTTCGTACTGTTTTTTGTAAACAAGCATGTTAAAATACCTGTGAAATGATAATTTAAATGAACAATTATTAAATACACTATATTCATTCAAAAATAAAAAGCAAAAATAATCAATAAAATCAAGTGTCTCAATTAAAAAATATTTTTTTTTCAATCGTGTTATCTGTACGAAAAGGAACAACAAAACTGTTGTTATGGAGTATGTATGACTGATACACGGTAAAGTCATTCCTAGCTAACACACATTATTATTTTATAAATTTTCCAAATCATTGCATGCAATATCGCAAAAAAAATTAAATCCTCAAGCAAAGTACATATTAAAACTAAACTAACATTTTTTACTGCCTACATTTTCAATATCACTGCCATTAGTTTCATCTATGCATGATGAGACCAAACATTGATACATAAATCCATAGTTAAAATTGCCAAAATTTGATTCCTTTTTTCAACAGCTGGGTCGATTGTATTTTTTAGCCTGAGAAATAAATTTATTTATTATATAATATTATTTAAATTTATATGATATTTTTTTATAAAAAATATAAATTCAGTATATACAATAGTATAATTACAAATGTCAAGTTTAACCTAAAAATATTTGATGAATTATAATCGTGATTAATTTTCATGTCAATTAAAATGTTTTGGAAGTGCTAATTATTAATCGGCATAACTAATTATAAAATTTTCATGATTATTATTCGTTTTTATTATTTTTCACATAGTAAACAAGTACTAATACCTACCGCTCAATGAGCTCACCTTTTTTTCCTTTTTCCGGACGTCCATGTGCTTTCACAGAGTTATGAACCAGTGAAGCACCATCAATGATTTTTTTCTAATAATTCATTTGTTTGTAGAGATAATGTTGCTTTGCCAGCCATTGTTTATCTTATATTTTCAGTACGAAACTTTTGAATTGCCTCTGTTTTATTATAGTATAGCGGCTCTGCATGCGCTCATCACATGATGAAAAGACCTATTGCAAGCAGCGTCTTAACTTACAAGAGCCTGCACACTCAATAGCTCGCCGTACATAATAAAAAATTCTGTATGAGCTAGACTAATCTATACAAATAAATAAAATTGAAGTGTCTGTTTGTAATGTCAAAATTACACCTTTTTACTAAATGCATATGAAAGTAAATACGAAATAAAACATATAACTAAAATACATTTTTTTAAATTTTTGTGTCTGACTGTCTGTCTGTTTGTTCCGGCTAATCTACGAAACGGCTGGACCGATTTTAACGCGACTTTCACTGGCCGATAGCTGATATCATAAGGAGTAACTTAGTCTACTTCTATTTTAGAAAAAGAATCAGGGTTCCGCGCAAAAAAAAAAACCCTAACACGCGAGCGAAGTCGCGGGAACAGCTAGTATAGAATAAAAGTAAAAGCCCTGCACCGACGATAGATAGCAACAACAAAAATTTGAGACGTAATAATAATATAATTAATAATTAATAATAAAATATTTACTACAATCGCCAATCTGCCAGTCAAACTTACAGTATAACTTCAACGTATTATATATAGGTACTGTAAGTTTTTATCTCCCCAACATCCCCCCAAAAAAGTAATGTTACGGGATTGACGACGACGATTTATTTACAATTTCATTCACTATAGACATAGATAATCAACATAGGAATGAATTATACGAACTGTTAGGAAAGAAAAAGTGAATTTCACGCAAAGCTTCGGCGTGATTCTTGCTGCCATGTAGAGCGTTGAAATAATCGCCATATTTTGTGCGCCGGCCGTAGCACGCGCGCAGACTGTCCGGCCAATAAGCTTGTGCTTCTGCCACCCTGTGATGAGACATTAATAACGTTGTCAAGATAGTCAATGAAAATAGAAAAACTTAAATAAAATAATTTAACTTATGTCATCATCATCATCATTATTACAGCCCTACACAATTCCACTGATGAACATAGGCCTCCCCCAAGGAATGCCACAAAGCACGGTCCTGAGCCACCTGCATCCATCGACTTCTCGCATGTCTTACCAGGTCGTCACTCCATCTAGTGGGGGTCGCCCTTCACTTCGCCTACCGGTAATGTAACAGAATTAAAATTAATTTCTAAAATCTTTAAAGATTTCCTAGCAAAACATCTGCCTAAGATATTTTTACCATTCAATTGAATGAAACGAGCAGTTAAACAAGAGAAAAAACAAATTTTGTTAAAGTTTTTAAAAATTAATTACTTTTTTTTCTTAAGTTTGAAGAGCCTTCCCTCAATGTGCACTATACCCGTCACTTCTAATCTCAATACCACTACACTAGGTAAGACACCACCGTTGATAATTGAACAAGTGTTTCGCCTCAATATGAGGCATCATCAGGTGAAATAGGTCTGCGGTCACTGCAGATTATTGATGACGGGGATAGTGCACGAAATTGAGGGAGAGCGGGAGGTGCTCTTCAAAATCGATAAAATAGGTTTTATTTTATTACGTGGATAATTATAATTAAATCATAATATATATATATACACACACACAAATACAAATAAATAAAATTGAAGTGTCTGTATGTAATGTCAAAATAACGCCTTTTTAGTAAATGCATATGAAAGTATTTACGGTACTAACAATAAAACAATTTTAACATTTTTGTCTGTGTGTTTGTTGCGGCTAGTCTCCGAAACGGCTGGACCGATTTTAACGGGATTTTCACTGGCATATAGCTGATGTACTGTGACTGTGAGTTAGGCTATTTTTGTTTTAGTAAAGAATTGGGGTTCCGCGCAAAAAAATTAAAACCCATGAAATCAAACCGTAACAAATTCCACGCGGGCTAAAATGGATTTCCGCATTGTAACTTGATTCTATTAATTATCTAAAAGTTTTACGTTTTAAACGGAAACTTCACAATTTAAAAAAAATTGTTCCTGGAGAAACGAATAAACGAGGACTATGGAATTGTTATAGCAGAAACAAAAATACCGAGCAGGTCCCATTAAATTCCGCCATTTCTGAATACATCCGCGGGCTGCCAGCACCAGCACCACGATAGGTCCGCTAGACATTTGTGCCACGAGATGCGGGAAGTGGTGTTGCCCGTAGTGGTTCCGGTACAGTTCTGCCGCTTGCTCCGGTGTTAGTCGAACTTCACGCCGCTGAGGTAAAAACATTTAAATTGCATTGTTGTAGTTATTATGTACCATATTACTTGTAACTCTTTCGTCTACGCCTTTTTCTTGATCAACCCTTTTCAATCCAGTACTGGATATAACAATATTATATTCATTTTCTTAGGGTGTCAACGGTTTAAGAATATCCACTACTCTTCAATATCGTTCCACGGGTATTGTAAGAGATGACAGAGGGAAAGTAATCGGGAGATGGGCATCAGCGAAACCAACCCACCTGCAAAACATAAAAATTATGGCATATATGTCTCCCCCATGAGGCAATCTATGAGGAGGGCCTATGTTCAGCAGTGCACTTTGACAGGCTATAACAGATGGATATTCCTCTTCAAGAATTCGTCAAATTGCATTTATTACTTCTTATATCTTATATACTACTGCCGGTCTGGAGAATTTGAAGTTCAGTATTTTGGAATGTCTAGAGCGCCATAGTGAAGTCACTAGAGCCTCGTGTCTTGATTAGCTGAAGCAGCGCGTGCGGATGACGTTTGTGTTTATTACTCTTTATATAATATAGTTGTGGGCAATAGGGAAACCTTATTTCATTTTATTACAAAACGTGGTTCATTGATAGAATAGAATCATTTTTATTCAATATAGATTTACAAGAAATTCCTATTGAAAGTTTTTTTACTTTTAACACGATTGTCTTGGGCTCCAACTATTGTTTAAGAAGAATCCTTCTCACGTAAGCCCCTTAGCCTCGACGCCACAGTTTTCGAGAAATTGACATTGCAATCAAATCCATACATTTTTGTTCGCACATTTCCACAGTCTTCTTTATTTAATCAGACTATACTTTAAATCTATGAATATTAATAAACTTTTTTTAATACAGTGTATTTTGTCTTATTACTAAACGTGGTTTAGTTTCAGGTTTAAACAGTAGATTAAGAAGAGTCCCATTTACGAAAGAAGCAGCGGTGTCACGGTCTTAGCAAAATTTGAGAGTGCTGTCAAATTATATACTTTACATTTTAGTTAGCATACTTTCCACGGTCTTGTTTATTTAACCAGACTGTAATTTAAACCTAAGAGTAATTATAAACTATTTTCTTTTGTACAAAGCCGGATTTTGTCTTATTACAAAACGAGGTTTATTCGTAGTCTCCAGTTTAAATTATTTCATGAAAGAAGTCCTTTGACATCTGTAGTCAAATTCCTAAATCAAATCTAAATCTGACTTTTACTTGAAACTAATTTTACTGAAACTACTATTTTAAAATTTAATTTATAATTTTTGTGTGTCGCCTAAAGTATCGAACCCTTCACTCCCCAACCATTTGCACCCTATTTCTGTCTAGTCTTATAGGTTCACGTATATTATGCAAATTTCCTTGTATATATATATATCTGTACATTGCTAATGCTAACATAGCCGGATTTTTTTTAGAATAAGCACACAGTCCACCTGATGGTAAGTGGATGCTGTGGCCCATAGACATCTACATCTATCCTCGAATAAGAATCAAAATGCAGATGCGTTATCACCTCTGAGGACTAAGATGGAATGCCTCGTATCGAGTAAAAAGGGTCTCCGGTTCTCTACACTCACCATACGAAACACAGCAGCATTTAGCTGCTATTTCACATTTGTATTCTGTGAGAATTTAGTCGTCCTCCATCCTCCAACATGGCTCTACCACGTAAAATTTTTTTCATTGAGGTCGCAGCGCTATTAGTGCTTTACTAATTGTATATTACTACAATAACAGTGGTGGTACTTGCGAAGTGTGCAACACTACATAACCCATTAGCCCATTATATTCTCCTTTTTTCAATCATGGGTTTAATTTTAACAAAAATCACTTCTTGCAGCCAATGGTTACACCAATTCTAGCGTAAAATAGCAGCTTAATATCAGCTCATCTATATCTACATCTAATATCTAATAACAGCTCAGGGGTGATAACATATCAACAGTTTGATTTTTAATCGAGGATAGATTTTGACATCAATGGGCCACAGCATCAGCTTACCATCAGATGGACCGTGTGCTCATTTTTCACCCTTAAACTATCGAAAAGACCTATCGCAGGGTGATACTCTTTGTTAATCAACACCTTATGTCCATTTTACATCTTAAATTAATTATAATAAGCGATTTCTACGGCGTAATTTTGGTATTTCATTTAATTTTGTATTTCTTTTTCGGTTATATAAGTTTTTTTTATAGGATAAGGGTGACTAACGAGCACACAGTCCACCTGAAGGTATGTGGTTACTGCGGGTCATAGACATATTACATCTATCCTCGATTATGAATCAAAATGCTGATGCGTTGTCACGAGTACTGAGATGCACAACAGCGTAAAGCTGCTATTTTACGCTGGTATTCTGTGAGACGTGGTCCTTCCCCGGTCGAGCTTATCCATTCGTGCTACAATTATTGTACTACTAATTTAGATGCGACATGGCTCTACCACGTATATGCAAAGTATCCTACAGTACCTTTAAAATTATGAATATAGTTTGTATCTTGTTGGAATATTTTAAATAACTAGATGATTAAATAATGATTATAGATCTCCTGATCGATTTAAATTAAGGCGTCATTTTTCGAATCGTATATGGACACAATACTGAAAGGAATTAAATATATAAGGACAATTACAGACACGATAAAATAATAAGCTTTTATAATAATATTCGATACCCAGGATTTGAAATCTGTTAGTTAAGTGCGAATCTGAACGTACAACATTTTATATACGAGTACATAACTTACTACGAGTTACGTTCTGGGATTGCCAGCTATAGAAGTGCCTTCTAATTTACGCGACTTTGCTAATAGAAATACCTAATAGGGTCTTACATTGATGTCGTGTGCAATACCCTACTCTAAACGTCAATAGGAATATGTAATTAATTTTTTATGGTTTCCATAGATAACAGCAGTGACCACTCGGGTAGACATAGGGCGTTCAAGGGTCTATCGCAAATACAATTTAGGGTTGTACACACTGTCAAAAAGTGGATATTTCGTAACTTATTTTTTTATTTTATCTTTATAATTTACACCTCTTATGGATCACAAAAGGTGAACGTAATGACTATAGTATTTTCTACTTGTTAACTCTGAATGTGTTTCTTATATATATTTATTTAAGTAAATATATGTATTTGTGGTATTGTAATATAATTATACGTATGTAATCATATAATTATATTACACGTGCAAGGTATGTATGTATGTATAACGTATAGAATATTATTTTCAGATATCTATCTCAATATACATATATATCCTTTACTTATCTATACTTCGACTTTATTTAAAATTTTGGTTTTTTGAAAAGTTTAAATAAATATGTTTACATTTTCTTTTGTTTCTATAAGTACTTAGTACGCGCTATAACGTAGTGATTTTATTTTGTTTCAGACGCACTTTTATACAGCTCACTGACTTAATGGGTTAAAAAAATTACAAAACAGTTTAACTATGTATAACATTCGCTGAATTTCTTTTAAAATGAATTTATCAATTTTGAAATTAATATTAAAATGAATTTATAATAACATGGTACAACTATGATTAAACTTAATAAGCTTGGGCTAGTACTACAACCTTCTTACAAACCCGTTCGCTCCTACATTAACGATGGAGAATTTCAACTCCATCTTTTTAATCGAGATGCCGCTCAAAGGTAAGCTAGAATAGCGGCCAAGAGCATTTCTGGATCTCCGACGAAGGGCACGAGATCAATATATTTAAAAGGTAGAATTTCAGCATAACTGCAACATTGTAACGCCAATAACCTAATTTTAGTAAGGTATTTGTATATTCTACATTAAATTGAGTTAAATATTTAAAAAAAAAACTATTACTGTGTCAATTTGATGTTTTAAAATATGTGTAAGCCGACTGTAACAGTGTAAGAATATCCACTAGCCCATATCGTCCTGTAGTTGCCATAAGAGGCGACAGAGGGAAACTCAACTGGGAGATGGACAGCGGCGTCTTCCTAATAACAAACGAAAATTTAAAAAAAACCTACTGTTGAAAGCGCGTCTGTCAAGCGTAGTAACTATAGCAAATATACGCCCTATAATGGGAATCTATGGGATAGGTCTACGTTTAGCAGGGGATTTTTAACAGGCTGTTAAGGTAACGGCAACAGGTAAAAGGTTACAATCATAATATATCCATCAAATAAAAAAATAAGTATAATTCCGCCTTCAGGTCCTTCAAAAGAGTCATTGCCAAGCAAAGTCAGAGCACATAGGCAGAATTGCCAAAAAAACTAGTTCGCCTTCTTTCGGGAACCCGTGCATTCTGGTCTCTCGCCAAGGCTGTTCAAGGGAACTTCTGTCAGCCATCTCTTCAGTCTCTACACAGGGAGGACGACTCACAGGCTCACGCCGCAAAGGAGAAAGCAGATCTGTTAGGCTTCTTTCTTTGCGTCCTATTTGACTCATGATGACGGAGGGAGCACACCGCCGCCCATCCCGCAGTATGATGCCATGCCGGATGTTTGATTCACACAGCGCTCGGTTCGCAAAGCACTCTTCTCCCTGGACATCCACAAGTCGAGTGAGCTTGACGGAAGCCAAGCAATTGTGCTGAGGACGTGTGCTCCAGAGTTGGCACTGGTTCTAATGCGTCTTTTCCGGTACTCTTACTCCCTAGGCGTAGTCCCAAAATCATGGAAAACGGTTTCGTCCACCCGATCCTTAATAAGGCAACTGCTCAGACCCGTCTAACTACAGGCCTATCGTCACCACCTTGTTCTCCAAAATAATGGAAACATATATTAATTGCCAGCTCATGCGGTACCTTGAGGTAATAAGGTTTTCATCATGTTCGATCAGCTGGTGATCTTCTGGTCTACCTGACTCATAGATGGGCGGAGGCAGTAGAGTCCAAGGGGGAGGGATTGGCCGTTAGTATGGACATTGCGAAGGCCTTCGATCGGGTTTGGCAAAAAGCGTTTCTATCGAAGCTCCCTTCCTATGGATTCCCGAGA